GAAGCGAAGCAGCCGAAATCCACCACAGGAGCAAATCCGTCGCCCAAACCACCACCCGCCTGGCCGCCCCGACGTCGCTACGTCCGCAGCGAGAACCGGCACAGTAACAAGCACTCAACCCCGACTCCCCACCTCGCGTACACACGTGAACAGAAACAACCTAATCATTACCGCCTCCCCGTGCTACATGTAGTGCGTTAGAGCATCTCCAGCCGCGCTCCCAACAGACTCTTCCCAGGCGTTTTTGCCGCGTCGGCGCCGAAAAAACGGCCCAGTCGCCCCCCCTTCAAGAAGCCTGTTTTTCGCCGGCTCGGGCCGAAACTGGTGCAGGCGGACCCAGGCAGAACCCGGCGCACTGGGGGTGTCTGGGGCGCCGGCACAAGCGAAAAGGGCGCATGGATCCACCCTGTCGACGAGTCGAGTGCCTCTTCCCGCCGTTTGTTCCCGCTTTTCCGCCACTTCCCTCCCATTCTCTCATTTCCTCCCGCCAATCTCCCTCCCGCTCGCCTCCCGGCCGCCCGCCATGCCACCGAAGAAGTACGTTGTCCCCTGCGCCACGGCAACGGCCACCGCCTCCGTCGCGCCGCCGAATCAGAGGAAGCCGAGGGCGCCGCCGTCCAAGCTACCGGGCATGACAAACGCCGACTGGAGGGTGGAAGTGCAGCGACGGGAGGCTGTTACCGCCGACCACTGGAACAGGGCCCTCGCCAAGAAGGCCCGCAACAACATGGCATGCACGGCTGCGGCTGCCGCTGCCGCTTCGGCGGACTAGGCCGAGGCCGAGGCGACTCGCGCGGGGATGATGAATCCACCCGGCAACCACGCGCAGTACGCGCCCGGGGGCCAGCAAGGCGTCGGGTCTCCGTCGCCGCAGCCATGGGGATCGTCAGGCTACGCCGACGGGAACGCGCACGGTGGGTTCAACCCAAATGTCACTTTCCCCATGGACACCCGGCCCAGCGCACGCCCTTGCCCGCCTTCACCGGCGTGTAGTACCCTTCATACAACTACTCGCCGCCCGCGTACGCGTCCTCCCCGACGCCTTCTCTCCGCCGTTGCGCACTGCCCTTCTCGCACCTCGGCGACGCCGACGAGACCGACGCCGACATGGACGACATCATCGCGGAAGGTTCGGCCGCGGCCGCCGCGTCACCCGGGTACACCGTGGATGAGACGCTGGATCTCAGCGGCGGCATGGACGGCGAGCTCGGCTACATCTACGGCGAGGAGGAGCAGGAGGAGCAGGAGAACGACGAGGACGACGAGGAGGAGGAGGAGGAGGAGCCGGCGAGGAGGCGCAAGAAGAAGAAGCGGACGGCCAGGTCAGGCGAGCCGCGCATCAAGTGGGCGTCTAAAGAGGAGGAATGCCTCGCCGAAGCGTGGAAAGTCGTCTGCCTCCACCCGACCACCGGCGCGAACCAGAGCATCGAGACGTACTGGGCACGCATCAAGGCCGAGTTCGACGAGCACAAGCTTGTCGACCCCTATTTCAAAGGCGTCTACATGCAGCGTGGGTCGAAGGCGATGGCGAACCATTGGGGGCGTATCCAGGGGGCGTGCAACAAATGTCATGTGGTCGTCGAGGAGGTCGCCGCTCGCCCGGAGAGCGGCGCCAGCATTGAGGATCAGGTATGCCACGCCGGTCTCCCGCCTCTCTTCGCCGTGTGCGCCCGCCAATTGTTTGTTCGTCCCCGCGCAGTTGCTGCGCATGTTCGGCCTGTATCGGCAGAGCAACAACGACGCCGAGTTCAAGTACCTCCACGTTTACAAGCGCATTGACAAGTGTGATAAGTGGGCGGAAGTCCGGCGCACCCTCGAGAAGGCCAAGGAGACCTACAAGCCGGACGCGCCGACTGCGGGTGCGTCAGATGGGAGGACGGACGACAACAAAGGTGCCAAGAAGGGGAAACACGCGGACGCGGCCACCACTCGCGTGCAGGAGTCCATCCAGCACTGCCTCGCCGACGCACAGGTCCGGGCCGCCCTTCGTGAAGAGAAGACCGAGGCGCGATGGTCAGCGTTGATGTCGACCAGCGCCATCAAGTTTGACCTACTCCGGACCAACATCGCAGCGAAGAAGAGGAACACCGACCTGGCTTTCCTGCTGGGCGGGGCGGACATGCTCCAGAGCACCAACGAGGCGGTCAAGGCGTGGTACAGGGCGCATGTTGGCCTCGTCCTGGACCAGCTTCCCTGGACGACGCCGCCCACGCCCACGACGACGCCGCCCACGCCCACGCCCACGCACACGCCGCTGCCGCCGCCAAGCCCGACCGATGATGCCGCCGAGACTGCCCGCAGCACAGAGACCCCGTCAAGCCCGCGCACGCCGACTCCGCCGATGCCGGAGGCCAACCCCGCCGCCTGATGCGCGCTTCCGTCCTTTCAGCTTTTTGTACGCCGAACTTTTCATCCGATCGCCGATCTACTGGCCGCTTGATCGCCGGATTGTGGCGTCTATTTTGGACGCGGGAATGACTACGTTTGAATTTGCCGTGGCTGGGGGACGGCGCCGGGGGGCGTGGCTGGGAGCTAGGCCGTCCTCAGGGACTGAACTAGCGTCGGCTCGCCCCAGGCCGCAGGTTTTCGGCGCCCTGGAGGGCCAAACGGCTGGAGATGCTCTTAGAACCCAGATGGAAGGCACGCGTCCCGGGGAAAAGGTCAGCCTACTTCGGTGAACCGCTGCCCAATGGCGCCCAGACAATTTTCACAGCCTCGATTCACCAGATCGCTCTATTTTGAGGGAGCTTAGGATGCGTTTGGTTGAAGGTGTCGTATGAATGGGTTGGGACCGTTCAATTTTTTTGGGATTGAACCATTCAATTCATGTGTTTGGCTGAATATAAGTGGTGAGCTAATTATTTAGGACGGAACCACCAGTCATGCTCACATAGTCATGCATGCAAAGGGTGGCCATTTGATTCGACCGATTTGGTTGGGTGGAACGGTTCAGCATCTTCATGGCATATTCTCTTTTTTTGGCTCGAACCATTCATGTGCTTTATAACCAAACATGTCTATTTTCTGAACGATCCCAACCCATTCATGACCGCCCTTGCAACCAAACGCACTCTAATAACGGGATAGATACTCAATTATTTTCAGAAGTGGAGGCCTATGTGGAGGAGGAGGACCTGAAGCGGTCGGACAGGGGCATGCTCGTCGCCATGTTCTTGGCGTGCCGGGAGATGTTCCCGGCGATGGCGACGGTGCATCAGAAGTGATCCACCTATGGGTCTCACTCTCGTCGGTGCCAGAAATATGGTTACGTGCTGGAGACTGTATCTGTATGGTCGACATGCTGGCAACGCTCCTTGCTCCGCTTTGCTTCATGCTCTGCTTTGCTGACGATGTAACACAGTACACACGTGTTTTGCTCTGGTTTCCACTGAAGGATGGTGTGACTTTTTCTTCTTGCTCTGTTTTTCTTTATCAGCTTCGCCATCAATAAACTTTGATTATGGATGGCATTGCTACTTACAACCTCGGAAACATATAGGAGTAGAACGCATCGATACACTTGTCAAACAAAGTCACTATCCTTCTACATTATAGTACCTTTTGGATCTGCTCACCGTGTTCGATACTACATTAATTTTTTTCGAAACGGAGGCAAAAGGTTTGCCTCATCCATTAAATAAGAGGAGAATAGAGTTTGGAGTTTTTACAAGCGCACCTGCAAAATGGCATGTCAATTACTCTCGTACAACAATACACCCTAGTTTCTTAGCACCTGCCGTAACCAATAGTTTTGCCTCGAGCACGATATTTTGGAGCAGGATAGGCGGCGGCGCACTCTTGTTGCGAAACACACGTGTGTTTCTCTCGTTTCAAATAGTCCAAGAGACGAGCATGATGAGGGAGGCCATCGCTCGTCTATTGGGGTTTCGCATGTCGGTCCTTCTATCACACCATCGCATGAGGGAATCCTCAATGTGCCAATTGGAGGTGTCCATGTGCACAAGACCGAACTTGTCGATGACCAATCGCCAGAGCCTAATGGAGAAGCGGCACTTGCCGAAGAGGTGGATGACCGATTCTTGCTCACATTTGCAAAGCGGGCAAAGCCCGCAGTTATCCTAACCACGCCGCTCCAACCGGTCGGCGGTCCAGTTCCGGTCTTGCAACGTCAACTTTGCTCGGGCCTTGCGGCTAAGGTGGCCATGGTACGAATGGAAGGAGCCTACCAAGTTTTGGGTTGGCTTGGGAATGGTGCAAAAACACCATTCTGGGACTCCCCGTGGTTGTTTGGTCGCAAGCCCAAGGATATTGCCCCGCTTATTTTTCAAGCCTCAAAAAGGAAGAGATCGACGCTTCGTCAGGCCCTTCGAGGGAACACTTGGATGACCCACATCAAGCATGACTCTATTGTCTCTGTCGCACACATCAGAGAACGTTTCTCGCTTTGGGCTCTTGTGCATGACTTCCATCTTGACGATCACGTTTAGGACGACATTGTTTGGAAGCATGCTGATGATG